ACTTGACCTAGACCTTTCGGCCGGAACCCGACAACACCTTCCCTGAAGACTTGGGGATTGCGGGACTCATAGCGTACCAAGGAGATCTCTCTCTGGCAAAGCCGGCACTTGTAGTGGTTGAGGACCGAGGGCACACAAGGTCCTAGACTCCTAGAAACCTTACCTGGAGGCCAACCAGCATACTGCGACCTGGAACCTTCCTGTCTTTAAGTGGCCAGCCAAACGACCCTTGCACCTGGCCCTAAATTCACCAAGAGCGGCATGCAATAATTCCGTCCGTTACCGCCTCCCTCGTCCGATCGGTCCTTCCGTGGAACTGTGCCCCCCGTGCCGGCTCGGGTCTGACTCCTTCTCCGGAAACATCTTCAACTCTAAGCCGTACCCTGGAAGTTGTATCGTCCTTTCCCGAGTCATCACGTCCGTCAGGAATCTGGACGCTCAGCCTTGGTACTAGGTAGCCCGCTGCAGGTAAGAGTAGATTCCTCTGCCGGGAGAGCAAGAGCCGCTCGCCTGTCATCGCAACTGTGCAGTCTGTCGGCCGTGCTTGTCCCAACTCCCATACAACTCGTGCATTCCCGGCCTTTGCTGCACGGTCCCTCTGCCTCTTTTGGCCACGCGTCAGGTCTTGACAAACCGACTAGCGCCTCCAATGTTCGCTCCTTCCTTCCACGACCCGTTCTCCCGAGTGACTGCCTATTATACATGATACGCTCGCGAGGTTAACGCCCAACAGCTCCTTCCTACCTTATGGCAAGGACCTCAATGTCACTGCCAACTTCACTAGAGAGATCGCCCTGATCCCCATCAATTTCTCCTCCTCTCATCCTCGACCGAGCAACCCACGACGACAGAGCTTGTGTTGTGTATCGTCTCGTAACCATCATCGATACTGTCACCACGCTTCCGCCATTCGTTTCGCGCACCACCTGTGTTGCTATGGACCAGCACGGGAACGCCAGCCTAGTCGACGACAGGACTACTGACGAGTATTCCAGTCGGTCGAGCCCTGGTTCTTTGGAGAAGACCCTGATAGACAACAACAATATCCCATCACACCACGCGTCGACCGTCACCATGTCGGGCCCTGAGGATAAGACAGTTACCCATAGCGGCACTCTTGGAGTCGCCGCCAATGTAGGCCATAACGAGACCATAAAGCCTCTTCCTACCTGGCGCTACGCACTGCTTGGTCTTGGGTAAGTGATATACCAACTTCTAACTGTGTCACATGCTTCTTCTTGACTCTGTGACTGATGACCGGAACAGTGTCGGCCTGGGCCTATTTCTCGCCATGCTTGACACCAGCATTGTCGCCACCAGCATTTACTCAATTGCGGCAGAATTCAACGAGCTTGAGGCCATCAACTGGGTTGTCCTGGCCTACACACTCACTTATCTCAGCTTCGCCGTACTCTTTGCCCGTATCTCCGACGTCATCGGCCGCAAGGCTGCCTTCCTTACTGCCTTCGCCATCTTCATTGCCTTCTCCATCGCATGTGGCTTTGCCCACAATCTGACCCAGCTTATCATCTTCCGTGCCTTGCAAGGACTAGGTGGTTCAGGTAACATCTTCTGTTCGTGCCGTCGATAGTGTCACTGACTTCCCTCCCAGGTCTCTACAGCATCGCCATCATCATCTTTCCGGAGCTCACCCCGGATAACAAGAAGCAGTTCATAGCCGGTATAATTGGCCTAGTCATAGCCATGGCCGGTGTGTTGGGCCCAGTCATAGGTGGTCTGTTGACACATTATCAGTCATGGCGCTGGGTCTTCTGGATCAAGTAAGTTCAGACAATAGGGTACCATTTGTGTCCAATGTGTGATGCTAATAGATGAATAGCGGACCAATCGGAGGCTTCTCAGCCGTCGTCTTCTGGCTGTGCTGGCCAGACAAAAAGTATTTGCCCGATATCGAGCGTCGCCAGTGGAAACATCTCGACTATCTCGGTTCATTCCTCCTCATCGCGGCATCGGTGCTCATCTGCTTCGCTTTCCAGAACGGCGCTATTAACGTCTCACAATGGAAGGAGGCAGTCTTCATCACGCCTCTTGTCGTCGGAATATTGAGTGTCTTCGGCCTCTTCGCATGGGAGTACTTCATCGAGCGCCGCTGGAATGGCAAGTTCGCAGCCGCAATGCCCCTCAAGCTCCTGCGCAATCATGTGTACAGTGCTGGAGTGCTGAACACCATGTTTCTCGGTTTCCCATACCTCCTCTCCGTCTACACTTTCCCGATCCGCTTCCAGATTGTGCATGGGAAATCGGCGCTGGAGGCTGGCCTGATGCTTCTTCCTATGCTTGCGGCCTCGGCTATCGGCAGTACTGCTGCAGGCGCCGTTAACAAGAACAGGAACCGGCTTTTCGAGACAATGATTGCGGCCTGCTTATTCATGCTCATCGGCTGCGCACTGCAGACAACTGCGACACCTTCTGAAACGTTCGAGCCAAAGGTTCTGGGATTCTTGGTCTTCATCGGCCTCGGTTTTGGTCTCTCTGCGGCAGCGTCGACAATGCTTGGTGCTACCGAGGCTCCTATCTGGGAACACGGTGAGTCGTAGCAACACCTTCCTGGCCACTCTGTGATACCGTGACTCAGATACTGACCGAGCACAAATCACAGCGCCCGCCCAAGGCATCATCGCTCAGCTACGCATCCTCGGCGGCAGCATCGGCATAGCTACTTCCTCTGCGATTCTAGGAGCCAAGACCCGCGACCAGTTGACCGGCGTCCTCTCGCCTCCCCAGCTCAGAGGCCTCGCAGCACAGATGTCCAACCTCACACCCCAGCAATACGCAGCGGTCCGCGTTACCTATACCGACGCCCTGAAGATGGACATGATTGTCTGCTGCGCTATTCTCGCTGCCGGATTCTTCCTCACCCTGGGTGTCTACCAGAAGAACCGCGTCAGCCTCGAGGAGCGCCAGCGCCAGCGAGTGATCGAGGAGCAGGATCGCCGTGCCGCTTCAAATGAGCATGTCCTGGCCAACCAGCCTCCTGTCATCGGACACCAACCTCCTGCCCCCGGAAGCCAAGCCCCTGTCCCGGGAATACAAGCTCCTGCCACGTACCAGGCGGCGCCTGCGAATGCGTGGGGAGGAGCATATCCCTCGCAGGTCTAGAGGGCCCCAATCCTGCCTATGTTAGGAGGAGTGTAAAGAGCCAGCGGTGATGTGTGAAAAATGCGTGATTGTCTTTCCTAGCGTTCGGGGTGGTGGCCACAAGCGACGCATTTCCCCCTTGCTCTAACGAACATAATGTATGCATCCTGGTTTATGGGTTTGCCTTTTCCTCTTGCATGGCAACGGCGTCCGGACACAGGCTCAGACGGATACTCATTTCGGGGAGTTAGGGAGAACAACACATTACATGGCTCGGTCGGGTGGCTCTTCTGCATTTTTATCGGAGTCCAATGAGCTTTTTTTTTTTTGGCCATCGACAGGTATTGCCAGATGGATTCACAGCACTCTAATGTATGATAGCGTATTGCTTAGGAATAGAAGACAGCAGCGAACAAATACTAGAAATATTGCTACCAATGCCGTGATCTCGAAGCGGCCTTCTTGCCGAGTGCCGATGAGGAGGTGACTAGTGGATCCCGGCTATCTAGCTGCGGGGCAGCTCCGATGGTATCATCGTCCACCCTCCGACACAGGCCGACGACGGGAAGCCTGCATGACATTACGCCCTCGTCCTCACTCTCTTTCAAGATAAACTCACCCATGTTGCCCAAAGCAAGAGTCCCTACTTCAGTCTTCAGCCAGTTCCTCAACACAGTCCGGACTACATACCGCCAACCCTTCTCCCCCACCCTCACATCATCCTATACCAACTCACTACACAGAACCATCACAAGAGCCATGTCCTCCTCAGCAGCAGCCAAGCGCCTGGAAGGCAAGACAATCCTCATAACCGGCGCCTCGTCGGGTATAGGCCGCAGCACCGCCCTCGAATTCGCCCGCACGGCGCCCAACAACGGCGTCAAGCTCATCCTGACGGCGCGCCGCATCGACGCCCTCAAGGAAGTCGCGGCCGACATCTCGAAGGAGGTCGGCTCTGGCGTGGCAGTCCTCCCCGTCAAGCTCGACGTCAGCAACCTCGACGAGATCGCGCAGTTCGTGCCCAGCCTGCCCGAGGAGTGGCGGGACATCCACATCCTCGTCAACAATGCGTAAGCTCAGACCCCTTGCACTATCTACGTGAGTTTAAAGAGAATGACAATGTATTGACAACCCGGGGAAAAAAGCGGTCTGGTCAAAGGCCTCGCCCGCGCCCCGCAAATCGCCCAGGCCGACATCGACACCATGTTCAACACCAACGTAAACGGGCTCATCGCCATGACGCAGGCCATCCTGCCCATCTTCCTGGCGCGCCGGCCGGAGGAAGGCGGCGCGGGGGACGTCATCAACGTGGGCAGCATCGCGGGCCGCGAGCCGTACGCCGGCGGGTCCATCTACTGCGCCACCAAGGCGGCGGTGCGCAGCTTCACCGACTCCCTCAGAAAGGAGCTGGTGGCCACCCGGATCCGGGTCATCGAGATCGACCCGGGCCAGGTGGAGACGGAGTTCTCTGTCGTGCGGTTCTACGGCGACAAGGACGCCGCCAAGAAGGTTTACGAGGGCGTCGATCCGCTGACTGGGGAGGATATCGCCGAGGTGGTGGTGTTTGCGGCGACGAGGAGGGAGAATGTGGTTATTGCTGATACGCTTGTGTATCCGAGTCACCAGGCTGGTGCGGGTGTTATGCACCGCAGGTCGACCTAAGGCCTCGGAAGATGTGGGAGCGCTGCATGCATTGTGTATACCAGACGTGCGGGTTATGTATACCTAAGGCAGTTAGGGCACTTTAGACATCACAATAGAGGGAAGCATGAAGGCATGGCATGTACAGGCAATAGTGGGAAGGTGCACAAGTGCAGAATCCGGCCATTGATGTCAGTGAACCTGCAGAAAATGACAAAAGGAATGCGCCAGGGTCGCACTTGACAAAAATGTAAATGGCCAGGCTTATGCAGGGCTCGAACCTGCGACTCGGGAAGAATTTGTGCAAGATCAAAATCCCGCGTGCTAACCACTACACTAATAAGCCATTTGTGTTGTGCAGACTTATGCCGCTATTGGTCATTATGGAGCCTGAAGCCGGGAACACGGAGTTTGCCGCGTCTCGGCGCTCCTCCGGTGAGTCTAGGGTGACATTCGGTCCCTGGACTACCGTACTATCGGGACCTCAGCTGAGGACTAACCGCAGACTAAGCGCTACGAGGCTAGGTATCTGGCGCTTGCGATACACTTGGCTTCTCGCGGCTAGGTATTTTGACGCTTGCTACGCACTTTTCTCCTCGTCCTGAGACATCGAGTTACCAACAACCATTCGTCGGAATACGGCCTCACCGAGGGCCTCAAGCTGTGTTTGTATGACGACGAGGCGCATTCCCAGGATGTTTGTGGCTGGCTTAAAGACCGCGCATCCCAACACGAAGGGCCATCAACTGTCAACATAACAACAGAACGATCGAGATAAACTCGCATTGATCATCAGAATGGCTTTCAGTACCACCTTCATACGCGCCAAGCCGTACCCTTGGCCCCATGGCAGCGTGCTTAACACCACTAACACGGCATTGTTGGTCATTGATATGCAACGAGACTGTAAGAGACACCCCATCAAACCGCATGATAAGAGCCACCTGCTAAACAATACAGTCTGCGAACCTGGCGGTTATCTAGAATCCCAAGGCTACTCAGTCGAGCCAGCAAGGGCAATCATCCCCAAGATCCAGTCCCTCCTAGAAGCCTTCCGCAGCTTCGGTTTCACAGTATACCACACCCGCGAAGGCCACCGCCCCGACCTCTCAACGCTGTCCAGCCGAGAACAGCAGAGAAGCAAAAAGTTCTCCGCAGTAGGAGGCATAGGCGACAAGGGACCGCTGGGCAGACTCCTGGTCCGCGGCGAGCCCGGCCACGACATCATCCCGGAGCTGTACCCTCTCCCCAACGAGCCCATCATCGACAAGCCGGGCAAGAGCGCGTTCCAGTACACCGATTTGAGGCTCTTGCTCGATGTGAAGGGAGTCAAGAACCTCGTCATCTGCGGTGTCACGACCGATGTCTGTGTCTCGACTACTATGCGGGACGCCAACGATATGGGGTTCGACTGCCTTCTTGTGTCGGACGCGTGCGCGGCTGGGCTGCAGGAGCTGCACGAGGCTGCTGTGAAGATGTAAGTGCCGTCTAGATCTGGACGAGAGACGTCATGCGTAGGCTGCGATTGCTTGCTGAGAGTTTTGGCTGACAACTGATGTAGGGTGGTGCAAGAGGGCGGGATATTTGGTGCTGTCACGACCACGGATGCAATCTTGGAGAAGATAGGCTTCTAGTAAAGCCCCGTCGAAATTTTTTTTTTGGTCCAAAAGATATCATCAGCCGCCACGTAATAGGTCGAATGGGTTGCTCGACTGGCGAACCGGAGTCCCTGCCCTATTCAATTCATCATTCCTCTTTGACCTCTTCCTCTTCCCCTTCTTCTGCGGCGGGTCCATGATAGACCGCACCCGGGCGGCGATGTCGTCGCCTAAGCCGAGGGTGGCAACGAACGCTGGAAGATCGACATTGGCCCTGGCCTTTTTGAAGAGAACGGCGAACTCCGAGATCGAGGGGAAGTCGTGGAGGAGGGAAATATGCCCGATATCTCTGCGCAACGTGCAGACGGAATCAGGCAATTGGCGATCGCGCGAGGTGACATCGCAGATTTGCTGAAGCATCCTTAGAGAGTAGTAAATCCCTTGCACCTGAGCATGCAGGTGCACAAAATCCCACGTCCCGATGTCCAACGTCCCGTTCGCTTCGGCTTGAAGCATATCAAGACTGAGTATGCTGCCTTTGCCCTGTGTCTGAGACCACACGATATCCTCATGTATTGCTAGCACGACCCATCGCAACTCTGGCTCAGCAAGGCACGCTCGGATTTTGACCATGTTGTCAATCAATCTCAGACATTGCTGGTCGATTTCAGAAACAGGAGGTATCTCAACTCGAGCTCCTCCAGGAAGAGACTGCAGCCGTCGATATTCTACAACGCTAGAAATCGGTCTGGTCGTGAGAAGTCGGCCGACGGCATATGCCAGTTGCCTCAGCGATGTGCTGGACTCCCATCCGCTTGTCCGAGCAGGCGAGTCAGCAAGAAAGGGCAGGTACATTGCCACATCCGGGTCGTCCTGCTTTGTGCCGTTTCCGGCACCTCCTGTTGAGTCCGACTTCTTCAGAAATGACAAGCTCAAAACAAGCTCTGAAATACGCGGATCGAGAAGACGTCCGGATATAGGCTCTAATGAGACACGCTCCATAATCTCAGGAGACAGATATTGTGCCATGAAGCTCGCATACTCCGACGCATTGGCATCCGAGTTCGCCTGTTCCTTGGCGAGCGGTATCGCTCGCTGGAGAGTGACCTGCGGGTCGATGCTGACCTGGAAGGCCAGGGAGGAGAGTCCCTTGTCGCGAGGACAAGAGAGCCTCTCACATATGCGCAAACTAGCGTACTCAGCTGCAGTCGCGATCTCTGAGCCTTCATGCGTCTTGAACTCGACGCTGCTGAAGAACGTTACACTGCCTTTGTGACCAAGGTCGTGCACGAGCAGGTCGGAGTCGGATGTGATGATCATGCCACCACTCAAACTGACATGACGGGCACAGAAGATATCTGCCTCCCCTGGCACAAGTTTTATGACGGGCGCGTATGTCTCGGACGCACATAGAGCCTCCAAGACTGCCGGTACAAGGAAGGCCGGCGTAGGGAGTTTCTTACTCGGACCTCCGACCGTCGAGGGAGATGAAAAGGACATTGGCACTTGCTCCTTCGCGGCAGAACTCCCTTTTGGCACGCCTGAGGGGTAAAGAGAAAAGTAAGAGCGCAGCCCTTTCGACAGGTCGAAGAGCCTCCTCTTGCGCTCTGGTTCCTTGGCGGATGGCAGGTAGCCATCGAAGTATATTGCCACTCTTAGTAGAAACATTAGAATTAGGCTTGACTTGAACAAGAAGTAATGCTTACATGTTGGCGCCTGCTTTCGATAGCTCATTCAGCCATCTTATGGCTGTTTGTCCCAGGAGACTGTACGATGGGAGGTTGAAAAGGCTGGTGGCATGTCCCAGACACTGGTACAGAATATGGTAGACCAATGCCGGACCGTCAATGACTATGTCACGGCCTTTGAGGTCGACTTGCTCTGCGTACGGTTCGAGCAGCTGCCTGAGACGTGGAATCCCCATGCTCCTTCGCAGGTGTCTGGTCGGCTACCAGTCGCTTTGAATTCGCTCGGGTGTGGGTTTTGGAGAGAACGATCTTCCGACAGCCATATTCTTGTGACGTCGATTTAAGCTTCAGTTCGTCTTTGGCTTTGATGGATTATCTTCCCAAAGAAGGTACGACTACGGAGGCGTGAGCGTGACTTACGGCCAAAACCCAAAATCTGGTCCGTGTCACAGAAACCGAACCTACTCCACGCCGTAGGTGTAGTGGGCTGCCAGGTGCTAGGCTTGCGCACTGCAATTGCAAGGCCTACACTACATAACCCTAACCCTGCCCACACTACTATAATTACAGGGCCTGCACCACTGTAATTGCAGAGCCTGCACCACTGCAACTGCAAGGCCTACACCACTATAATTGCAAGGCCTGCACTACTGCAATTGCAAAGCCTGCACCCATTGTAATTACAGGGCCTACACCACATACACTACATAACCCTAACCCTACCCATACTACTATAATTACAGGGCTT